CCCCAAAACCCCAAAACCCCAAAACCCCAAAACCCCAAAACCCCAATTGTGTGAGTTAATATTGGATAGTAAAATTATTCCAGCGAAATAAATAATAGGCAACAGCAGGGTCTCTAATTTTTTAGAATAATTTGAGCTGTTTCCGACCAAAACATTAGTTACAAATTCAAAAATGAAGCCTAATTGTTAAAATTTAAAGTCTAAAATATGAAGGTTCCCTCACAATTTATAATTTGGACATTTTTTATAAGAATTGTTTACCTCTCCCTCCAATTTTTCTGAACGGATCATGAGGAAGCTTAAGTCTTAAGAGATTTCTTGGCAATAAATCTTTCGGATGTTTTCAATTTCAGGTTTCTTGTTTAATATTAATGTCCTATTCATTGATCCGTTAAAATTGCGGTTGCCTTTATGCTTCATTTTGAATCTATTTTCAATGTTGAAGCTTGCACTCTGAGAGCTGACTTCAAAATTATGACTACTTTTTAATATCTTCTTTGGTAGTTTTACCCTTGGCTTGGAATTGCTTTTTATACTTCGCAACGATTTAACAGAATTCTGATATACCAATTGGGTCCTGGAATTGTTCAATTTGGTATTACTCATTTCTTTCTTTTTCTTGTTAATATTTGGAAGTTCTCCATTGAGAATATGTTCTTGCAACGGTTTAATTGCACTCAAGTTTGGAGAGATGTATCTTGGAGCAGAAAGTCTATTCCAGGCAGGAGAAGTTGACTTCACTCTTCCTGTTTGAAAAGTCTGATCATTTTTATCGGAATTAATGAATTTATTAGATCTAAAACTTGTCTCTTGAATTCTTTTGCTACTAAGCTTCTTTTCTTTTGACTTAATAAAGAATGATTTATTCATATCGATCTTCTTATTTCGAAACGGAAGATATAGAATCGATGACTGAAACTATTCTTCCGACATCTCTGGCATGCTTCTTAAAACAACACTTCTTTTCAATACCTTCATGAAGCTTAAGTTTCAAATCTGGCAACTTAAACCTATTTTTACGATTAGACTTTCTTTTCTTCTGCTTTTCTTTTGGTTTACTGATTTGAGAATAATCTTCTTCATTTTCTGAAATAGGATTGTCTATCTCTAAATTCTCATGAGGGTATTTATTTTTATCAAGATCTAAAATCATGATGAGGAATTACCACATGATGAAATAACTGAGGTAGACAAAAACTTTGAGCTTCTTTTAGATCCTCTTCTTCTATCTAATTTCTTTTTGGAATTCTTATGTTTAGCAGACTTGATTTCTCTAAATTAGAGTTATAATAACAATAGATATCGCATGATTCATAACTTTTATAAAATTCATTATTTTCGAGATAATTTCAACTTTTATCGAGTAATTAGATATGGTTTAACATACAGATTCAGTCTGCCACTCTTTTGTCGTTTTTCTATAAAAATATTAACCAGTTGGTTAAGCCATTGCTTACTCTGAGTACCATTCTTCTTATCTAGCAATTGGTTAATGTTGTTATGTTTATCCATCTGAAATGTTACAATAATTATTACAAGGCCTTGAGATTCTAAGAGTTGGTTGACATTTGGGTATGCTTCATTAAATCGCTCATTTGATCAAAATTTCTCTTGCATACTATTTAAAGACCACTATCTTATCATTCAAATTCTGCAATTGTCTATAGAAGAAGCTCTTAGTATCCTTCTTGGTTCGTAATCTAATGGCGTTCTTGACATTCTCAGATGCTTTCTGATAAAACTCTAAAGAATAAATAAAGTTTTAAGGCTTTTATTTGCTTACCTTGCTTGAGTAACTTCTCAATATCCTTCTGAACCTCATTCCTATTCTTCTTCTCTTCGGATACAAAATTATAGTCTTTTCTTGAAGATTTAGAGGTTATGAACTAGAAGTTTACACAGTTTTATACTTTTTTCAGCCTAGATGGAGTATTATCTTTGCTTGCAAATTCTGTAGAAGTCATTTATTGATAAGCTTGTGCTCAATTTATTTATATTTTAAAGGGGTTTTGGGGTTTTGGGGTTTTGGGGTTTTGGGG